TAACAAAAGGAATAATTTAAGGTTAATTCAAGGGTATTTTTTTTCCTTCCAGGGAACTCTGTGATAGGTAGGAAGAAAAGCTTAATATTTCCAAGAGAAAGTAAGGTTTTTAAGAAGAAAGGAGATGTCTCTCTGTGAAATGAATGAAGCGTTCTCTAATTTTAGTCCTAGATGTCTCATTTTAAAGAAAAAAAGAAATACAAAATTGCCTCTTTAAGAGCTTTTACTATTGCTCTGGGCACTTGTAAGATGCTGGCTATCCCATGTTTTGCTCGGCTGTCTCATAAGTGGCTTAGATGACCTGAGTGTTCATACAGTAAGTCAGCAACCAAATAAAAGGTTCTGATATTTCTTTTCCTTTCTTTTCTTTTTCTTTATTTTTTTTCCATGACAAAGCATTGTAAAAAAGATGTAGCACTACGAGTTGTTTTTGTTATCTTAACAAAATGTGGAGGGTATTGCCTTGTGGCTTGTGATCAGTTGAAGGTCCTCCTGCTGTCTCTTCCTAATGCCTTAACAGTACCAGTCTCTGCCATTCCTGTGCCACCCAGCCTTGCATGTCTCCTTGTATATAAATCTTCAGCCTCTCTTAGAGAAGGGGGTGTAAAAGGGGAATCTGCTGAGTAAATTTTGATAGGGAAAAGAATAAAGGAGGAAACAGTACCCTATGAGACTTCTTGCCATTAGCTTCAGCTCTCTAATGCTATCATTTGTGTTACACAAGATCCTTTCAACATGTCATGGTCACATTTCTGTCCTTTTCTTCTATTTCCCAGTGCTGCCTAGGTGAGTAGGTGTGCAGGAACACATGCCATACATCTAATCTTCACAAGGCTGGAAGGGGAGAACTGGCAGTTCTTGAGTTTGAGCAAGGGCTGGTTTAGGCTTAATGTCCTGATCCATCAGTAGGCAGTAAGTTTCTACACCAGTACAAGCTGTTTAGGGTAGTGGGGAATAAGATCTGGCTGTCATTAAGGTAACTATTTATCCAGTATAAATTCCAAATTAATGGCCACAGATGAGTTTCAGATGACCTGCAACCCCACCTTCTGTTTCTGCCCAGGTTCTCTGTATGGCCAGTCCTCCCTGGCGAGACACGGCAGGTGTGCTTACATGTTAAGGAAAAGTCAATGGCCAGGTAGAGGAGAGAACTCCAAACTGAGCTGTATGGGATGAGCTCAGCAGTTTGACCCACTGGCTCATCGGCATGACCACGCATGGCAAAGAAGCAGCAAAAGCCTGGCTGGGGCCTTCAGCATGGCGCACCTAGGATGATATGTGGGGTAGGAATGGTAAGAGATGTAACAGGAATGGAAGTTACAGAACCACTGGATTTCATTTATTTTGTTTTGTGCATTCGTTTTAGAATAACAGAGGCAACTTATGTTGTTTACTGCCTCAAATATGTAGTGACCTCTTTGTTATTTTTGCTGGGGTACCATTTTGACACACAGTTAGAGCAGCTCCTTAAAAGGATGTAAAAATATTGACTTCACATTCCTATGATGGGAAAGTTGAAACGCAGCCAAGCAACACTGAGTCCCACATGCTTAAACTTAAAGGCCTTCGAGGATCATTTCTTAACAAACCCTCTGCCTGAACCAAATGCTTTAACAAGGGCACTGCTGGGTACCAGATATGTCTTGTTTCAGAAATCAGTGCTACTACAGAGGACTCTGCCTTTCCATGAAGCTGGCTTGTAGCACTGGGCTCCTGTCTCTTAGCCCTGCCATGGGGATTGAGCTGGCAGCCCTCAATAGCATTAGTCTAAGAGCTGCGACTTGTGCAGGGAGAAAAGACACACAGTAACATTTTCTCCTTTGGTCTAGCTAACACTTTCTCCTTTCTCCCATTGGATGTGCAGGTTTTATTTGTCTTTTTCCAACATTAGGTTTCCTTTGCTTATCTGCAGCACTGCAGCTTTGGATAACAGTGTGTCCTTCCTAGAGAGGTTAACTAGAGGTTGCTCTCCCAATTACTGATTCAACAAACAACAACTGAGGAACTATTTGATAGCGGGTTCATTTTGAAGCAGGAGTGTATTAGGGAATATTCTATGCATTAGCCCAATATTCCTTCTCGTGCCTGTGGATCTTTGTTGTCAGACTCACAGAGTGTAGTGATGGCAGCAAATGGCCCCATAATTAGGCCAGACAAGATGGGAAAGGAAGGTGGTGGTAAGAGGCAGGAGAGAAATGGGAGTACATGTCCCGAGCTTGTTTTGAGGAAGGACTGATAATTTGCATGTAGAGTTGAAGAATAATTTTTAATCCCTTATTTTTTCTATCCAATTTTCTGTTGTAATTAAAAGCCTAAATGACCATTGCTGGGCATCTCTACTCATCAGCTTAATAGAATGGTATCTGCTTCAGCTTTGGTAATAATAAGATATTTCAGGTTCTGCTGTGACTTCAGGAAGGCTGTACTATCTGTGTTTGTAAACATACTGAAAAAGTAGACAATAGACACAGGTAATTGTGCTGCTGTTTAAGTCAGGTATTAATGAAGAAGTCTGAAGACTTGAATTATGCTCTTCTCCCTGTCTTCTGTTTCTTCTGACCCAGAGGAAGTCAGTGCCCTTTTTGAACCTGCCATTCAGTCAGGGTATAAAAGACTCTCTTATAAAGCAACATCAGGTCTTTTTTTAACTTGAGGATTTCCAAACGCTCTGCTCAGTAGGATACCAGTACTGAGTGGGAGAGTCTGTTGGTCCCCTTCGTTTTTGTAGCAAATGCTCAGTGTGTAGAACTGTGGAAACCTTTATAGAAACTGGTGCTGGTTGAAAACTTGTATTCAAAAGGTGTTTTTATTTTTCCTAAAACATTTTTTCAACTTTGTTTTCTCTCTGTGACATTCAGGATTAATTTTTATCATAGAATCATAGAATGATTTGGGTTGGAAGGGACCTTTAAGGTCATCCAGTTTCAACCCCCGTGATACAGTCAGGGACACCTTCCTTCTGACCAGGTTGCTCAAATCACTGTCCAGCCTGGCCTTGAATGCTTCCAGGGAGGGGGCATCCGTAACATATCTGGGCAGATTTATCTAGATGAAAGCCCATCTAAGCATTTTTTCTTTTCTCCTTCTAAATGGTCTCAGTTACTATTAATGCTTATGTGGTGGTATGTGTTCCTCAAAGGGCATAAACCAAACATGTTGGTGATACAAACTGGTAAGTAGAATCTGTGTGAAAAAAAATATTGTTTAGTGGCTGTGAGAAGTAACACAGTGTTGGTGTGTCTAAGAAGATACGAGAGTGCTGCTTGTCATTTGTGCTTGTGTGAAAGCTGAGATATCACTCTGGTCCACATTTGGGCAGCCTGGATAGTGTTGCACACTGAGTAGATGTAATCTGACCCACCTAAAACCAATTCCTCAGCACCTGGATAAAAGAACACCCTACAGAGTATTATGTCACACCATTGTAGTACTTTAGGATGCTTAGTCATTTGCCATGTGAGCTTTTTGCCTCCCACCGACTAATGGGGTAGATTAGATATTAAGTCTAGCCTGAATGGCTAACCTTTAGGTGTCCAAAGGTAGAAAAGATAGATCCTGTCCTCATAAACATACTTAGTACACATCATGGTTCAATCCTGTAGCTGTCATAGGTTACTATGTGTCTGTGTGCCAGGTTAGCCTTCTAACATAAAACATAATGTTTTGTACCTGTAGAGAATGTTCATAGTCTTTTCCACAGGATAGCATTTTAATACTGAGGTTTCTGAATTTCAGCCATCGATTAAGTCTGCAGTAACTAGCATCACAGTCTGTGGTTGTGCAGCAGCAAGAGATTGTACTGTGTGGCCCCACATCGCGGACTGGGCTCGCCTCCTCTACTAGAAAATCTCATTCAACATATCTGGATTTAGGTTCCCACAGCTAAAACTTTGGAATTCAATTTGCTCTGCGAAGTTGAGAAATTGCCCAAAACAATTAGATAGCACTGCAACCATTAAGCTATTCTGCTTGCATCTGTTTCCAAATGTGACAAAGTCTGACTTTTTTGAATGGATGCAGATCAGCGCTGCTGCAGCTGATGACACAGTGGTATGGCAGGGTAGGAAAGCACGAATTTTTGGCTGGGTGGTTTTACAGACCTAATACTGCACTTCTTTTAGCTTGATTTTATCCCTTGACATCACCAGCAGAAAGTGTGAAATGAGTTGATAGCTTGGGGTGCAGCTAATGGTAGAGCTAAACTTGCCAAAAGAGGCTTTGTTCTCTTGGTAGTGGGAATGCTGTTGGTTTCAGCACCCTGAGATTTTTGTGTCAGCCCTGTGAATCACAGTTGTTTCAAACTGCATGTGGCAATTGGATTTCTCCTCAAAGAGGAACATTAAAATGAACTCAGTGAAGGATGTTAACTCAGCTCAAGTGAAAGATATAGTATATATATATAGTATAAGTACATCTCAAATTTCCATCTCTGTGTGAGTATAGAGACCTTGTGAGAGACAGTATCATTTCAAGTTTAGGCATTGTCTTGAAAGAGATAAAATGGCTACATTAATATGCCATTTGGGGCGAATTTATTCACACAAAATGTAGCTGATTGAACAGCTTCTCCTCGGTTACAGACACTTAGGATTGCACACAGGCAGTCTGTGCACTTGTGTATTTACATACAAATGTACTGTGATGGACATGTTAATTTATACATTCACACCATTGTGAACTTAACCTATTACTAGAATGGAGTGCATCTTAGGTGCAATTTGTGGTATCTCAAGAGAGCTGCATAGAAAGAATTTACTTTACAAGAGTAATACATCCTGTGTACTGTGCACATTGTGCTCTTTTTGGGCATACCAGATGCACAGACTTTATATAAATATGGAAAAATAGTATATTGCAATGATTTCTTTAAATGCGAAACATATAAACATGAATTTGAGTTGCTTATTTTACTAATAAGAATCTCAGAAGATAAGGCTAAGTAGCGTTGAATGAAATTGGACTTTTTTAGTTGATATTTGTTTAATTTTGTGTTATTGCAGAAACTGGAACACAAAGAAGTTTTGGTTGGCTTGTTGTTCCTGGTTTTCCCCTTCATCCCAGCCAGCAACCTCTTCTTCAGGGTGGGATTTGTGGTGGCAGAGCGAGTCCTTTACATGCCGAGGTAACTATTGCAATTGAATTCCTTTCTAATGAGACTGCCATCCCATTTTCTAAAAACAGGCAAGATTACTTCTAACCTTTTACAATTCTTCAGATGTTTATATTGATAGTATGCTTTCTGCCGTTGAGTTGGTGTGATTGTATGAGGGATTTTGTCTTCCGTTGAGAGCAGATCACTTGGCAGGAGCAAAGCTAGCCAAATTCCTTTTGACTTTTCAACACAGATTTTGATGTGTGTGAAATAGCTGAATACAGTGATGAGGTATTATTTCTTGAGGATTGTTCCCACAGACACTTTCTCCTGACAGCATTCTCAACTGAAATAGTCAATGGCTTTACTCTAAGGACAGTATCTGAAGAGTTAACTTGTCGTTCTTGTGTACTGCTCAGCTTTTGTGCTACAAAGGTGCTCAGTGAAAACAAAGGTGACAGTGTTAGGCTGCTAACTTGAGTTGCTGAATATTTTCATGACATATCTGTATAATATTGATTACAAACACATCTATGAGTGGAGGATTTGCAGTTGTAGAAGAGGATCTGTCAGCTTCTGCCTCAAAATTTCCCTCACTTTCCAGCCTCTTAATAAATGTTGCTTCAGTGGTCTGAGTTCTGAAGTTCTGATCTATTTCTTTTAATCAGTGACAGATTTCAGATGTTACTTCTTACATATCTATAGTATCCAGGCTGGAGCCTGCAGTGGCATTCAGGGGATATTTATCCAAAGTGCACCAGCCTATGGAGGCCATGTGGTTGACCTTCCAGCTCAAGTGAAGGCACTTGGAGAAGGCTGCTCAGGAATGTGTTTTCCAGCCATAAGCATAAATTATTATTCCTCAGTGGTACAAGTCAGGACTAATACTATTTGCTGGTGAAGTGGATCAGTTCCTGTTATCTCTAATGGGAGCCACTCTTGTGGAGCTGTCAACAAAGCACAGTCCTCACAAAATGTGGTTTAAAAAATCTTAGGAAAACAGACTTCTAGGACTTTTTTTTTTTTTTTTTGCAAAGCATTACACATGTTTGTTAATCTTTTGTGTAAGTAATATCACAAAAGGACTACTCATTGGTGTAAAACTTGAGCTGCTACTTTTATTTCATTTATATAAGCCTCCTATGCAGTCGGTCCATCTCTCCATGCTGTACTGTAATCTGAATTGCTTCTTGGGCCAAGTCCTACTGATTTTATTCACATCACTAGCCTTGCTTTTGTCTGATGGGAGCATAGCTGAAAGTACAGTGAGTGAAAGTTGTTCCTGAGTTATTTTGCAAATGATACCTTCAACTAATGGATCTTGCATCATTTCAAATTAACTTGAAAATCAGATTGCTTTAAATTCATGTAAGAGAAAATGAGGCAACACATGAAAGCGCAAAGCTATTAAGGAAACAGTCAGCTGAACACAAGGCTGTGTCGAGTGGTTGCATTTCTGAATCTCAAAAGAACAACTGCGGAAAATTCTTCAGCTGTCAGCAGTTCCTTGTCCTCCTCCAGATGAGACTGCTGATATAATGAGAGGAGGGGCAATGAAGAAGAAAAAAGGAGATGTTTGCACAGACAAAATTAATCAGCGTTAACATGTGTGCATATAGTTTGTATAATGCTTTTCATCTCCCTGCGGGCTTTGCAGATGTATGACCTACAGTGAAGGGAATTGATAGTTGACCTTTTTTATTTTTTTCAGGCAGGAAAATGGAGGCAGGAGGATTACATGGTTTCTCCAGAGTTAGCCTGTGTCAGTCCGTGGTTCTCTTACGTCCTACTTTGCTATGTGTGGTGCTTGCTTTTAGCCCAGGCAGCTGACAGGAAAGGGAATGAAAGCTCCAGCAGCTAATGGGAGAGGAGGACCGGCATTGTGAAGGCTGCTGAAGGAGACATTTTCCAGCAAAGCAATCTTGAGAACTGATTTCTTGGCTCAATTACTAAGAAATGAACTCTCTTTTCATCCTCTGGGTTCAAACAACACGAGTGGTGAGGAGGGCTTCTTTGTGCATTCCTGACTGTGGCAGAACCAAAATGATGATGTTTTTTCCCTTCCCCAGGAGCACAGCAGTTTAATAGTGATGGCTCTTGCAAGGCGCGTGTTCTTTATTTAGAACAGCCTGTAGCAGTTTGCTTCTGTTGAAAAGCGCTTTTCCTTTGCTTTGCCGTTTCTTCTCTGAAATTCAGTTAACCAGTCAGAGGTGGTAATTCAGCTTTATTTAGACAGAAGTACTGAATCACATGGTGAGGACTTGCTGACCTGTGTTTTCGAGGTTATACAAGAAGGTGCTTTTCTATCTCCGTTTCAAGTAATAGCCTATTATTAGTTGTTACAGGTTTTACAGGTGTACGCATTGCCTGTATGTGTCACAGCCTCAAGTCCTAATTCAGTGTGGTTCAGCAGTTACCTGGGCAAAAAGTCAAGCATTTTGTTGTCAGTAAAAGTTGAGTGAGGACCCAAGGATTTATGTAAAAGATGTAAATGCAAAGGCACAAGGAACAGGCTTTCTACTTAGTGGCTAATTATACAGCTGGGCCTTCCTTTCTGGAGGCGGATGGCTGTTTTGAACAATTCCTCTTCTGTCTGAGCTGTGCCTCAGGGAAGAGAGATACAAAACAAGTCAACCTGGTTGAATGTTTTTTTTTTTTTTTTTTTTTTTTTTTAATTAGTCTTAGCAAAACAGAAGTATTTGGAGAAAATATCTCTTATACTTAGTTTTCATTTGAGGATTACAAGTGCTTTTTTTTCGTTTAAATCAGAGCTTTTTAAAAGTAGCACTGCTTAAACCTGAAAATTTTGATAGGAAATCAATTTATTGTCCTTAAACTTCAAATTGAATTCTACTTGTTGTTGTTTTCTTATCCTGAAGGGGTGAAAGCGTGTTTTCAGGAGAGCTGAAAGTGTGAAATATTCCAGAAAATGTGGGCAGGATACAATTCCAGTGGATGCAGTTTTCAAGAGAGGCATCAAAATAAATAACTGGATCAGTGAAAGACTCAAATCACAGCAGGTTTTCCATTGTAGGTTTTAAAATGCAGATGTAATTATCCATAATACCTATCCACCAGTGTTGCTCAGAACACTGCAAACAACATGTTTTAAAATTGGGAACAACTTTGTGCATCCAGACATTCTGAACCATGTGCCATTTGTCTATATACTTGAATGCGAGCACTCACTCCTACCATGTGTTGCCCTTCACATGAAGATACAGGAGAGGCAGAGAACTCTCTGGAGTTTTCCATTCAGGAGTTTCCTGCTCTATTGACTTTGCAGCAGAACTGTAGTTGCTCTTTGCCTCATAGGATCAGACCTATCCTAGGGGAACAATTTCTGCCTTTTCCTCATCTTTTACTGCTGCTCTACTAGCTCCTAGCTGGGCTGCTGTGTTGTAACTGGATGTCTGAAGCTTTTTTTACAAGTTTGTAACAACCAACAAATCAACCCAAGTGTTGCTATATGGCTTATTTCTGACTTGTAGAGCAACTCAAGCTGAAAGCAGTAGGCAACCTAGCAGTATCTACACAGCTACCCTGGCAGCTCATTTGAGGTGCATACTGTAATGAGTCGGTCACAGAGTGCACCATTACTCTTTCCCAATTGGGACAATTGCAACTTGATGCCATTTTTTTCACCAACTCTTCAGTTTGTTAACAGTTGATGCTGCAACCCTGATTGTCAGTACTACTGCTATAGTCATCATGGCATTTGTCTATCTAATAATCTACAGTTAAGACAACTAACAGAAAAATAAGTGTGATTGCACTTTTCAGGAATTCAGTGTATGGTGGCTTTCCCTAAGCCATAGCAAAGCAGAGGCTCAGTGGAATTTCTGCCTTTGCACAGGGGACGCTTTTGGTTCTTTGTGCTAATGCATTCATTCAAATTAGTGTAATTATGTACACTGTTAAGTGGTGTAATTGGGAAGAGGAATAAAAAGAAAAAAAAAAGAACCTGATGGGTAATGGGTTAATTTGTAATTTCTATAAACATGAATACTCCTGAGTAGAAGTCCTCATTGCTTGCAGCCTCTTGAGGATGGGACTTACTGGTGCTTGTCTTTTCTGGGAGCATGTCATGCTCTCCACTTTACTTTCTTCAAGGCAGCTACATAACATGGTAGTGGTGGTGCTGGTGTACTTTCTGTTTCTGTTGCCATCCTATTATTTAAAGTTACCTGAAGTGGAAAGTTCTCCAAGACTGAGGAGCCAAATTCCCAATTACCTGTTCAGCATTCCCTCAGTAATACATCAGATCCTGTAAGTAGTTAATCTGGCTTCTGATAATCTAGCTGAAGGAGCTTCAGTTTTCAATTGGAACCAAGTACTGACACAGCAAAGTCAGCTATGAAAGTCCCACTGACTCCATGCAGTCAGTTTATCTTTCTGCTCCTCCATCTTGATTCCTTTGGGATCTGGAATCCAAGTCACACCTTCTCCGTTTACTTAAAGTCCCACAGTTTTAATGCAGTGCTATTGCTGCTGCTCCTGCCAGGGCTTGGCAGCTGAAGCAGCGTGGTCAGAGTGAGTCATGCTATATGGCCTGTAGAGAAGCAGAGGCCTGAAGGCTCTGCAGGGCATACAGGGCACTGGGAGCGCCTTACTCGTGGCAGCAGGCCAGCCCTCAGCCCTCAGCCCCAGCCCGCCTCACCATGAGGCTGGAGGCTGCACAGTAGCCAACAGCTGAGGTCAATGTGGCATTGAGCCCTCTGCAGCCCACTGGGGCCTACGCAGAGGCAGGCACTCTGCTTCTGCTTCGCTCTCTGTTGAAAAACAGCTCCACCCCGTTGCTTTAGAAGAGGCTGTGAGGATTTACTGCTTGTAGGAAGGCTAAGCCCTGTAAGCATCTACCTTTCAGATGCGTTTCCAAAGCTAAGCCCCTGCTTTTGAAGGCTTGCCTACCCCTATTAAGCACTTCAAGGAGAAATCAAAGCAGCCATCCTCTGCTAATGCAGGCAAGAAATGCTGAGATGCTAGTGCCAGATATTTTGGCGAAAGGCAATAAAGATGAGGGAACAAAA